GGTGGAGGCCATGGTAGTTGTGGTCCATTAGTCCTTCGGACTAATCTTTTCCTTGTATCCTGTTCTCTTTATTCTCCCTTGCTCCCAAAGAGGTGAGACCAGTGGAGTATCTTAGATGGCTTCTCACAGGCTTTTAAGACCCCAGACGCTACTCACCAAGGTAGAATGTAGAACATTGTCTTTATAAACTGTGTTATGTAAATTGCGCTAGATAGACTTTAGTTTCTTATGTATAAAACAAGAGTAAATTGACTAATCTATAGTTCTAATTTCTTTCAATTTCTTGACTGCTGCTTCCATGGGTGTTGATGGTGGATCCAAGTAAAATGAAATCCTTGACAACTTCAATCTTTTCTCCGTTTATTATAATGTTGCTTATTGGTCCAGTCGTGAGGATTTTTGTTTTTTTTTATGTGGAGGTCTAATCCATACCGAAGGCTGTGGTTTTTGATCTTCGTCAGTAAGTGCTTTAAGTCTTCTTCACTTTCAGCAAGCAAGGTTGTGTCATCTGCATAATGCAAGTTGTTAATGAGTCTTCCTCCAATCCTGATGCCCCGTTCTTCTTCATATAGTCTAGATTCTTGGACTATTTGCTCAGCATGTAGATTGAATAGGTATGGTGAAAGGATACAACCGTGATGCACACCTTTCCTGACTTTAAGCATGCAGTATCCTGCTGCAAAAGACCTCTTTAAAGTGTTGAAAAGCAAAGATGTCACTTGAAGACTAAGGTATGCCTGACCCAAGCCATAGTATTTTCAATCGCCTCATATGCATGCGAAAGCTGGACTATGAATAAGGAAAACCAAAGAAGAATTGACGCCTTTGAATTGCAGTGTTGGCGAAGAATATTGAATATACCATGGACTGCCAAAAGAATAAACAAATCTGTCTTGGAAGAAGTACAACCAGGATGCTTCTTAGAAGCAAGGATGGCGAGACCACATCTCACATACTTTGGATGTGTTATCAGGAGGGATCAGCTCCTGGAGACGGCATCATGCTTGGTAAAGTGGAGGGTCAGCGAAAAAGAGGAAGACACTCAACGAGATGGCTGCAACAATAGGCTCCAGCATAACAACAATTGTGAGGATGGTGCGGGACTGGGCAGTGTTTCATTCTGTTATACATAGGGTCACTATGAGTCTGAACTGACATGCCAGTACCTAACAATAACAACATAGTTCTAATAATCCATGTTTATAAAGGTGACCTTACTGAGGAATGGGAATTATGGCATAAGGGTTTGAGTTTTTAAGGCATTTGTATAGTGATTTTAAAAATCAAAATGAAATATATTTTTAAATCCCTGATTTTGTAAGCTCTGGGAAGTAAACTTGTGGGTTATACTATGTTGGGGAAAATTACTGTGGTGTCTTTTGAACCCACTTTCACCTGTATTAGGAGCTGTGAAACCAAAACCAAAGACCAAACCTGTTGCCATCAAGTTGATTCTGACTCACAGTGACTCTGTAGGACAGAGTAGAACTGCCCCGTAGGGTTTCCAAGGAGCAGTTGGTGGAACTGAACTGTCGACGTTTTGGTTAGCAGCCATAGCTCTTAACTACTGCACTTCCAGGGCTCCTAGGAGCTGTGAGGGCCCTAGAAATTTTTTGTCCAAGAAATAGTAAAATCTCATTAATCCAGAGCCCCTTTCCTCAGTTTGAGATAGGGATAATTTTTTTTATTATTATAAAAATTCATATTATATACAACATTTTCCATTTCAGCATTTTTTACATGTACAATTCAGTGGCACCAATTACAGTAATCATGTTGTGCAAACTTCTCCAGTGTCTGTTGCCAAGTTTTCCATGGAATTGTGATCATTTTCACAGGTTGCTTTTGCTTTACAAAAAAGGATTTGTTAATGGGATAGTATAAATTGTTTTCAGGAGAGCTATTTAGCAAATAGGCACTCGATAAAGATGTATTGAATAAATGAGTTTCCTTTGAGCAACTGCTCCATTTGCTCAAATTCATTCAGAGTAGTAAATAAGGATTTATTGTACAGCTCTGTAAAACACCCTATAGGACAGAGTAGAACCACCCCATAGGGTTTCCAAGGCTGTAAATCTACACAGAAGCATGCTGCCACATCTTTCTCCCATGGAGCGGCTGGTAGGTTCGAACTGCTGACCTTTTGATTAGCAGCTGAGCGCTTAACCACTATGCCACCTTTCTGTAACACATAATGTTCTTGAACTCTCACTTAGTCTGAATTAGGAAGGTTTTGTCGTACCTAAAACACATTTCATTGAAGGGCACTGTCATTGGAATATGTGGCTGTTCTTTCTACTTTCTTAAGATTGCAATAGCTTGGTCCTCACTTGAATGAACGTATGTGAGTTCAGAATATACTTCTGAGTATAGATTACTATTTATCATAGACTAAAAACCCCACTCACAATTTCCATCTTTTTGGGGGAAATGTTCTCAGCTTCTGGTAATTTAGAGGCAACAACGTCAGTCTCAGGCGGATGGTGACTGTATTCTCTCCTAAACCAATTAGTCTGTCTATGCCTTGATGGCCAGTTGCTTTTGTAATTGTGACATCATTTGTCATATATGAAATCTATAAAACTAATACCAGGCAAGGTACCTGAGTGTGAAAATCATCTCCCGTACCTATTAGCTGAGACATACAGAGGCCATAATAAAACTTAGAGTCATTGTCCCAATTAGCATTATCAGTTTCTCAAATATTTTTCTCCCTCTCCCTCCCATTCTTCCTTCTTTCCTTCCTCCCTTCTCTGACTCATTACATAATGAATTTAAAGAATTTCATCTTTTTCATCTGTGTCCAAAAAAGAAAAAAAAAAAAAAGTCAATACAATTGCCTAAATCAGGTAAAGACAAAATTCTGTAAGTCTTCCCCATTGGTTTTTATTCACCAGGTTTTTGGACCCACAGGGGACAACTATGTCATCATCATCTTCATCATATTATTCATAGCTAACTTTGGATTAATTACTAGCATATTTAAAGTGAAACTATTTTTTAACCTGGTTGCATAAGAGAACTTTCTCTTAAACACATTTAAATTTATTTATTTTGCTATTGTTTGTAATAATGAAGTTGCTTTCTTACTTATTATCTCTCAAAGATTTTTTCAATTCCTGATAAAGAGGAGCAAAGGTCACAGATCAATGGTGTGTGCCTACTCTTTGTAGTAGTGGGCGTTGCATCCTTTTTCACCCAAACTTTGCAGGTAAGGAATTTTATTTTTAAGTAAGTAATTTAGCTGTTTCCCCCTTTTCATGTTAAAATGTAACTAAAGACTCCTTCTTCATGTTTTAGGGATATACATTTGCAAAATCAGGGGAGCTCCTCACAAAAAGGCTACGTAAATTTGGTTTCAAGGCAATATTAGGGCAAGAAATTGGCTGGTTTGAAGACCTCAGAAATAGCCCTGGAGCACTGACAACAAGGCTCGCTACAGATGCTTCCCAAGTTCAAGGGGTAAGCTATGGGGGAGGAGCTGGGGAGTATTAACTGGACTAGAAATTCTTTCCTTTGAAAATTCTGATGATCACCGCTGTGTTTCCTATGGACTAGGAACTAGTGGGATTGCGGTATCCCAGAGCCACATTTCCTACCATTTCCATGTTGACAAACAGCAGCTCCAGCACAGTGTCTCTTAGGAAGTGCCTAGAATCAATGTTATGGCATGCTTCAAAATTTGTCAGGTTTTTGTATTTCATCTGAGTCTAGCAACTGAGAAGGACTTTCCTGAGACTCATTTCTTAGATCGTTTAGAGGCCCAGAGGCTCGGATGCAACTAGACTCAGAAGTTCCCCTAAATGGTGTAATCAAAGGGCTTATGGAAGAAAACCTTCCTCACTCGCTCTGGTGCCCAGAGTAGTTAGTCTTAGAAAAAGAGAAGCTGTTCTGAGCAGCCTCTGCTAAGAGCCTGCTCAGTGAGGAAACTGAGGGAAAGAAATAAATGGTGGTTGTTTAGAATCTTGAAGGCTTCAGAGAGCTGTCTTTCTAAGAGAGACAAAGCTGTGATTTCTAAACCCAGAACATGCAGCCTTGTTCAAGCGACTTACACATATGTATAAGATGAGGCTACAACTTTTACAAAACCAGGTGTTTAGATTAAATTGACGAAAGTCAAATTTGCCTCCAATACTTTTAGTCACTATCTATGTGTCTTAGTTTTCTAGTGCTGCTGTAACAAAAGATACTACAAGTTGGTGGCTTTAAAGAACAGAAGTGTATTGTCTCACAGTTTGGGAGGCTAAAAGTCTAAATTAGACAATCAGCTCTAGGGGAGGGGCCCTCCTTGTCAGTGGCTTCAAGTGTTCCTTGGCATTCTTTGGCCGGTAGACAGTTCCTCACATGGTCTTTCTTCTTGAGTGTCAATTACTTCTCGTTCTCATAAATAGAGGAGGTATTCGTTCATGTTAGTTTTTGCTGAATTGATGAGTGGAAAATGGTATCTCATTGTTTTAATTTGCATTTTCGTTATTATTAGTGAGGTTGATATTTGGAAAGTAATGATATCTCAAAGAAAAACTGCATAGCTGCTTTTCAAGCAGGTTGTAATGCCTGACAGTCCTTGACAACAAGAAATTCTTAATTTGCCTTTTACTCCTCTCTCCAAGGGAGTTAGTGCCAACACACGGGAATCTTTGGAGCTCACAGTTTATATTCCATTCGAGTCTTCAATACAGTATAAAGACGCAGATTATTCTTGCATAGTACTACTATCCAACACCTAATGGCTAAAATTTCTATTAATTTACTTAAATATAACCATAAAATTAATGGATCTAAAAGCTTATCTTTTGTTTTTTTACACTGTTTGCCTTAAATAATGTTGAAGTCCCTGCAGAGTTTGACAAAAAGTCATGTAGTTGTACTTACCCAAATGTTTCCTATATACATTGCACCAACCACTGGTCACATCTGCATAACAGCAACTAAAATGAAGACTTGGCAACCACTGCATACTTTTGATTAGATAATAATTACCACAGAGGTCTGATCACCACCTATATTGGCACTAAATCCATTTTATCCATCTACATTGACTAAATAAGCAGCTATATATTAAGTCAGCATGTGACTTTGTTCCAATGAACGTATTAACTTCAATGATGATCAAATGGTACTTTGTAACAGTCTTACATCAACTTCAAAAATTATAATTATAGAGCAAGCATTAATCTTCACCTAATAATAAGTAATATTGCCATAAACCCAATGCCTGGTTATTTTCAAGCAACAAAATGTATAGGCGTTTGACACATATGCAGGCCACACTTGAACCAAAAAAATCGTTGTCAGCAAGTTAATTGTGGTTTATGGCAACCCCTTGTGTTTCAGAATAGAACTGTGCACCATAGAGTTTTCAATGGGTGTGATATTTTGGAAATAATTCACCAGGCCTTTCTTCCAAGGCACCTCTGGGTAGATTTGAACTGCCAACCTTTTGCTAGTAGCCAAGTGCTTAATTGCTTGCACCACCCAGGGACTCCTATCCCATGCGTAGGGCTGCTCACATGTGTTGGTCTAGCTCTGACACCCATTAAGTGAGATTAGTCAATAGATGAGCTCCTGAAAGTTGGGAATTAAATTGACTTTTATTCATCCTGACTTTAAATTATTCCAGTTTAGGGGATTTTATCATTTAAAATAACGAATCTTTCTGGCATGAAATAGACTTTTTACAATAATGGTATTCATGAGCTGAGGCACCTCTGCAAAGGCACTCTTTGGTACAAGAGTCTGGGTGTGTGAGATTAGTTTATTTTGCTTTTGGTTTGCAGGCTGCCGGCCCTCAAATTGGGATGATTGTCAATTCCTTCACTAACATCACTGTGTCCATGATTGTTGCCTTCTTATTCTGCTGGAAGCTAAGCTTGGTCGTTATGTGCTTCTTCCCCTTCTTGGCTTTATCAGGAGCTATACAGACCAAAATGTTGACGAGATTTGCCTCACGAGACAAGGAAGCTCTAGAGACTGCAGGACAGGTAATCTTACAGACCTAATTTCCAGACTGCTCAAGGCTGAGTGGCTGTCAGACAGACTGTTAAAATGAAGTAGTGCAAAGAGACTTGAGGAAGCCGTTAGCCTACAAATATTCACTGGTTAGAAACCTCCAACTAACCCTCCTCCTGTGTGCCAAGGCCCGAAGGCTGGAACAGTCAAGCGCTAGTGCTAGGAGTGGAGTAAATACAGAGGGCTAGATGTTCTTTTTTTTTTTTCTCAAATTTTTTTTCCCCTCATGTCCCTTTTTGGCATATTCTTATCTGTAAGAATGGATAGCTCAGTTTTCAGTCTGTTAGTTTTTTTCAGCTTAACATTTTAGCTGAATCATGCTGTCCATGTTGATTCAGAGAGTAGCGCTTCACTTTTTAATGGCACACACTTTTAATTTTCACACTTTATAGTGTCTGCTAGCCTTGTGATAAATGTCTTTCCCAAACAGAATCAGGAGCTACAGTTGGATCTTGAATACACGTAGGTTTCAGCTATACATTTTCAAAGTGCGACCTAACTAATATCTGGGTTATTGAGATAAATGAGAGGGTGGGAACATAGATATTTATCATGTTTAAGAAATCATGTGCACACACACTTATACACACACTCACTCTTTCAACAAATTCACTATAGTCCAGGTTTTGTCTCTTTCAAGAGAGGAAATTTGAACACTTTATTTCTGCATAAGTAGGCAGAAGCCAAAAGGATTATATATGCCCGCCTTTGTGTCCTTTTTAGGGAAGGACCCTAATTCAGAAGCAACGCTTCTTTATCGTAGGGTGGGGATTCAAAGAAACTCAAATTCACAGTATAGATTAAAAGAAAAATGTTATATATAATTTTAAGTTATTTTGTATAATATTTTATGAGATTAAGTTTTTTAAGAAAACAGAATCTGATATTAAATCTTTTCTCTCAGAGGACAGCCTACAAATTAGATGTCATTTTAGACACTTCAAATGGATCAGCAAAGAAACTGAAAAGCTTTCAAGTATAACTGTTCAGTTCTAGATGCTGTCAAGATGACTCTGACTCATGGCAACACCATGTGTGTCAAAGGGTTTTCAATGGCTGATTTTTTAGAAGTAGATCGCCAGGCCTTTCTTTCAAGATGCCTCTGAATGGACTTGAACCTTCAACCTTTTGGTACAGTTGGGTTGATTTCTAGCTACCTGTTTATGTCTCCACTTGGTACACCCATCTCTGATTTGTACTACATTCTACCATTTGTACCTGTTCCACCCCATGTAGTAGCTGAAATGTCATGAAAGGAGTTATTTCTGTCTTCTTATTCCCAAAACTCTTTTTCATTCCTTAGATTACAAACGAAGCCCTCGGTAATATCCGCACTATTGCTGGTATTGGGAAGGAGAGGTGGTTTACTGAAGTGTATGAGGCTGCGCTGGAGAAGCCATTCAAGGCGGCCATTCAAAAGGCGAATATATACAGCTTCTGCTTTGCTTTTTCCCAGAGCATAACATTTATTGCTACTTCTGTGTCCTACCGATATGGAGGTTACTTGATCTTCTATGAGGGACTGCACTTCAGCTATGTGTTCAGGTGAGGACTATGTGGCCAAAGTCATAAAAGATCAACACTCTAAGAAGGAGTTGTTGTCATTGTTAGTTGCTCCATTCTGCACCATCTACTTGATCACTGGGTTCTACCAATTAGCTTTTGCTGCCCTTAACAAACTATCCCAAACTTGGTGTCTTAAAACAACTGGGGTTTATTATTTCTCATGATTTTATGGGTTGGTGGGGTAGTTCTTCTTGTCTGGACAACTTAGTCAGAGCTGAGTTGGAAAGTCTGGGACCTCAGCTGGGATGCAGGAATGGCTGAGAACGCTGGACTTCTGTCTCCATGGAGTCTCTCTAGAAAATGAATGTGGTTTCTTCCAATTATGGTCTCAGGGTTCGAAGGCAAGCCCCAGTGTATAAGCACTTTCCATGTCTCTGCATGCTTCACATTTTCTATTGTCTCATTGGCGAATGAAAGCCTTATGACCAAAGCCTAGATTTAAAGAATACAGAAATGTTCTTCCCCTCTTGATGAGAGGAGTGAAAAAGTCACATTGCAAAGGAGTGCATATACAGTGATGTTACTGTTGTTGTTAGGTGTGGTCGAGTTGGTTCCAACTCATAACAACCCTATGTACAACAGAACAAAACACTGCCCAGTCCTGCACCATTCTCACAATCGTTGCTATGTTTGAGCCCACTGTTGCAGCCACTGTGTCAATCCATCTCCTTGAGGGTCTTCTTCTTTTTCAATGACCCTCTACTTTACCAAGCATGATGTCCTTCTCCAGGGACTGATCCCTCCTGATAACATGTCCAAAGTGCGTGAGACAAAATCTCACCATTCTTACTTCAACGGAGCATTTTGGCTGTACTCCTGACAGTCCATGGTATATTCAATATTCTTTGCCAACACCGTAATTCAAATGCATCAATTCTTCTTCAGTCTTCCTTATTCACTGTCCAGCTTTCACATGCATCTGAGGAAACTGAAAACAGTATGGCTTGGGTCAGGCAAACCTTGGTCCTCAAGGTGGCATCTTTGCTTTTTAACACTTTAAAGATGTCTTTTGCAGGAGATTTGCCCAATGCAATACATTATTTGATTTCTTGACTGCTGCTTCCATGGGCATTGATCGTGGATCCAAGTAAAATGAAATCTTTGACAACTTCAGTCTTTTCTGTGTTTATTGTGATGCTGCTTATTAGTCCAGTTGTGAGGATTTTTGTTTTTCTTACATTGAGGTGTAATCTATACTGAAGGCGGAAGCCTTGAATTAGATGATTCATAAAACAACCAGTTACTGTTGAGCCAATTTTGATTCATGGTGACCTCATGTGTGTCAGAGTAGAACTGTGCTCCACAGAGTTTCCCATGGCTGATTTTTGGGAAGAAGATGGCCAGGTCTTTCTTTTGAGGTGCCTCTGGGTGGAGTCAAACCTCCAACCTTTTGGTTAGCAGCCAAGTGCATTAAATACTTGCATCACCCAGGGACTCCAGGTGGTTCATAGAACTACCCTATTTGAACTCTACTCCTCTCTTGCAAAAAGGGCATATTTCCAGCTGAGTCCTCATAGGTAGAGACAGCAAAGACCAGTACAAAGGAATTATGTTCCTTTGTTATAACCAGAACCTCCTATTCTACAAGATTAGCTTGTAGTCCAGTTTCTCACATTTCCAGAGGTGATAGCATAAGGGTGCCAGAGCTGGGGATGCAAGTGTATGGGTGAGGGGAGGAGGACAATCTGAGAAAGCCTTGAGGGTATTAGGAAAAACAGTCCCAATAAGAATCTGTTCTTCCAGGTTTCATCCTCAAACTATGGATTATGCCTTCTTACCTTCTATCTTTCTTCCATATTTCTCTCCCGTCCCGCTACACCCACCCCAACCTGGAAAGTCTCTTTTCTGAATCTTTGTGTATTTAAAGCTGCTAATTCAAATCAGCAATCGCTAACTGTTGACTTGGTTTTATTTAGTTTATGTAAGGTATCTTAAGAAATTATTTGCCAGCATGTAAAAATTGGGAGACTTTGCAGAAAACTCCCAATTTCTGGTTTCTTTTTTTAAACTGGAAGATCTTCCTCTGCCATTTCCTGTTTTATTCCAAGTGCTTTTCATTCCTTTAATCTCCTGACCAGGCTCCCAGAGAGATTTGAATTTGCAACCCCTGAACTAAAACAATTTCTGCTAAGAATCTGAGCAGTAAGACACACAAAGACCTCCCCTCCTCACGAGAGATAGGCCCTCTGTGAAGGGTTGTGCAGGTGGACAACTCCAGGGGGCTCTCCTCATATCATGGCCTGTACAGCAGCAGAGCTATCTAGCATCATGTTTATCATTCATATATTCACTCATTCATTTGTTCATTCATTCAATGCATATTGAATACAGCTAGAAGCTGGGACAAGTAGAAAGGAACAGGTAAGCATGTCTTTCTCATGCAGTCTGAAGCATAATTTATATGCCATGTTTGCTACAGAATTGATGCTTACATCACCAATTATTATCTTTTACACATTTAGCATAGATTTAGAGAATGCTAGAATTGTAAGAAAACCACCCAATCTAATGATTTTTCAAGCTCCTTCTGTTTTGTTTTCAGAATTCTTGTTTGTGTGTATTGTGTGTTTTAATTTTCTTAAAAAGTGGCTGAAGCAGGGTTTGGAGGTCTGAGCCCCACTTGTCCAGTCCTCCCCTCACCCTTCTTGCATAGAATACAATTTGAAAACTGCTCGTCTTTACAACACTCACTTTCCCAGGTAAGGCTCAGAGAGTGGAAATGGCCTGCCAAAGTTACTCAGTTCTTTCCTAGCAGAACCAGGGCTAGGACCCCAAACTCCTGTCTCTTAGGCCATCACACCAACCACACCTCACCCTTCCCTACCTGGGTGTCCTTCCAATTGCAGGGTGATTTCTGTGTTTGTCCTGAGTGGGATGGCTCTTGGAAGAGCCTCCTCTTACACGCCAAGCTATGCCAAGGCTAAAATATCAGCTGCACGCTTTTTTCAACTGCTGGACCGGCAACCCCCAATCAATGTATACAGTAGTGCAGGTGAAAAGTGGGTAAGTACTATGGTGGAAGCAGTGGGAAGGGGCAAGGGGAGGGGTGTGTGTGCGCAGAACAGTCATTGGGGCTGTTCATAAAATTCCACTTAGCTTTGAAATTCCTGCAGTATACAGGTTCATTCATATGCACTTGGAATGGACAGACAGTAGGTTTATATATGTAAAGGACTGAAGTAAATTAGCACCAATAATTATTCATAAAGCTGCCATTTGAATAAGGCAATGATATCCAATGAATGCTAAATTCTGTGTAATACAAAACACTTAGTTCCAGAGTGAATGGAGCCAGATGTCTTTTGGCCCTACCCAACCACCATTTCTACTGATGTGGTGTGGAATGTAGAAATACCAGTTTTTCCTGTCCAGTGATATTGATTTGGTTCACGCTTATCTAGGTTCATGCGGTCTCCCAGAAAATAAATTTGATCTCAACAAAATATCTTTTCTTCTAATTGATAGTCTTCAGAGGTATTGTTTCATCTTTCCTGACCATTTTTTAAAATCTCAGTAGGGTCAAGAGCACAAAAATAGCTGAACCCTAATAAAGCTAAGCTAAATTCAGAAATCTTTTTAATTGGTCAAATTACCTGTTTCTCCTTCAGCTCAATAAAAGTAAAGTCTCTTTGTGGTCTACTCAAAATCTGTCCATTTCTAGAGTTCATAATTCAGACCATTTTTAAGCATAGCAACATGCAGTTGAAAGGTATTCACCTTTGCATTACAGAGCTCAACTAACTTTGTCTCTAAGTCATTTCAAGGGCAATGGCTTTATTTTAAGGCTTTTGGGCATCAGAGCTGTAGGGGTTTGGGCAGTTGCTGGTTTCTGTGATGTGATAATGTCTTCGAGATGTTCCTTTCCATTCCGGATGACAAAGAAATTCTCTTAGGTTAGAACGGGAATAAGAGATCCAATTTCTTTAATTTCACTGCTCAAGTTTCCCTTTACACCTGCTAGAATAGGGAATCAAATGCCATTTCATTAAATTGCTGTCTCTACACAGTATGATAGTATGGTGTCTCAGTTACCTAGTGCTGCCATAACAAAAAATACTACAAGTGGGTAGTTTTAAAGAACAGAAATTGATTTTCTCACAGTTCAGGAGGCTAGAAGTCTAAATTTAGGGCATGGGGATGCCTTTATTCTACTTCAGCTTATACTAGCTGGCAATCCTTGAAGATCCTGAGCTAAATAAAAAATGCTATTTTTAAGCAGGATCACATCCACAGGTACAAGGGCCAGGACTTCAGTACATATTTGGAAGGAATACAATTCAATCCATAACGCATAGTGTTGACAGTTAACTTAATCAGGGGTTTAAAACTTACATTTAGGTGCATTGTCCATATTCTAGTCCCCAGTAGGAGTGTATGTAATTCCAATCCTCCTTCCACAGGACAACTTCCAGGGGAAAATTGACTTTGTTGACTGCACATTTACGTATCCTTCTCGGCCTGATGTACAAGTTCTGAATGGTCTCTCAGTGTCTGTCAGTCCAGGGCAGACCCTGGCATTTGTTGGAAGCAGTGGATGTGGTAAAAGCACCAGTATTCAGCTGTTGGAACGTTTCTATGATCCTGACAAAGGGAAGGTGGTAAGCAATGCAAATATTTTTGTGAATTTTGCTTTCTGCAGAATATCTCCAACTGCCAAAACTGGTCTTCAAGATTGTGCCTTGCCAGACTCACTTCAAAGTGCTTGCCTTGGACACTTACCCCTTAGATGTTTTCCTGTCCCACTGATTTGCTGGTTGACCTGATCCTACCTCACAGTTTCTAACATCCAATTCTTCCCAGTTACAGATGGCCAGCTGACCACAGTTAGGCAAAGACAACCGGGCACACTGTGAAGCTGGAAATGAGTGTATTTAACAGAAGCATTCGCTTACCAGTAAATGGAGCAGAAAGTGCAGACTAATCAGGAAACTAATAACCAGGAATGGAGAAAGTAGGGGGGTGATAAGGAACACAATGATAAACGAGCAAGAAAGGGGACTTTGCATGAAAATCTGAGACAATTTTGATTCAAGAAGCTTAAGTCTAAATAAAAGAAGGAACTCAAACTGATCATCATGCACCAGAAAGCTTTGGCAGGGATATCTGAAAAATTAGTGGATTTTTTTTGTTGCTTATTTTTTACAGCTTTCCTTTTCTTTTTTTTTCAAAGTAATGCATGCAGAGGATGATAAAGTCAAATAGTAAAGAAAGTTTTGTAATGAAAAGCAACCTTCTGCTCCACACAGCCACCCTCTCCCTCAATTTCTCTGCTCAAAGGCAACTATTTTTTTTTAGTTAATTAATTTATTTATTGTCTGTAAATCTTTTCATGAGTTTTTACAGTAGTGGTCTCATACAATATTTGTCCTTTCGTGATCAACTTATTTCACTCAGCATAATGCCCTCCAGGTTCATCAATGTTATGAGATGCTTCACAGATTCATTGTTGTTCTTTATTGTTGTGTAATACTCCATTGTGTGTATGTACCATAGTTTGTTTATCCATTCTTCTGTTGATGAGCATCTAGGTTGTTTCCATCTTTTTGCTATTGTGAACAATGCTGCAGTGAACATGGGTGTGCATATGTCTATTTGTGTGATGGCTCTTACTTCTCTAGGCTATATTGCTAGGAGTGGAATTGCTGGATCATGTGGTATTTCTATTTCTAGCTTTCTAAGGAAGCGCCATATCATTTTCTAAAATGGTAGTATCATTTTGCATTCCCACCAGCAGTGCATAAGAGTTCTAATCTCCTGCAGCCTCTCCAGCATTTGTTATTTCCTGTTTTTTTGATTCATACCAGTAATGCCAGGGTGAGATGCTATCTCATTGTGGTTTTGATTTGCATTTCTCTAATGGCTAGTGATTGCAGGCATTTTCTCATGTGTCTGTTGGCCGTTTGCATTTCTTCTTTGGTGAAGTGTCTATCATTTCCTTTGCTCATTTTTTAAGTTAGATTATTTGTCTTTTTGTTGTAGAGGTGTTGGATTTTCCTGTAGATTTTTAGAGGTTAGAACTTTGTCTGATTTGTAATAGCCAAATTTTTTCCCCCAGTCTGTAGGTTCTCTTTTCACTCTTCTGGTGAAGTCTTTTGATGAGCATAAGAGTTTAATTTTTAGAAGATCCCAGTTATCTAGCTTATCTTCCGGAGTTTGTGTGTTGTTGATTATGGTTTGTATCCTGTTAATGCCTGTTATTAGGGCCTCTAGCGTTGATCCTATTTTTTCCTCTATAAACTTTATAGTTTTTGGTTTTATATTTAGTCTTTGATCCTTTTGAATTAGTTTTTGTGTATGGTGTGAAGTACGGTCCTGTTTCATTTTTTGCAGATGGACATCCAGTTTTGCCAGCACCATTTGTTAAAAAGACTGTCTTTTCCCTGTTTGATGGGCTTTGGGCCCTTGTCGAATATCAGGTGACCATAGGTGGATAGATTTACATCTGGGTTCTCAATTCTGTTCCATTGGTCAATGTGTCTGTTTTTGTACCAGTACCAGGCTGTTTTGACTACCGTAGCTGTATAGTAGATTCTGAGGTCAGGTAGTGCAAGTCCTCCTACTCTGTTCTTCTTCAATGGTGCTTTACTTATCTGGGGCTTCCTCCCCTTCAATACAAAGTTAATCATTAGTTTTTCCATCTTTTTAAAGAATGTTGTTGGTATTTGGATTGGGATTGCATTGTATTTGTAAATTGCTGTGGGTAGAATTGTCATTTTCACAATGTTGAGTCTACCTATCCATAAGCATGGTATGTTTTTCCATTTATGTAGATCTCTTTAGGTTTCTTGCAGTAATGTTTGTAGTTTTCTTTGTATAGGTCTTTACATACCTGGTTAGATTTATTCCTATTTTATTTTTTTAGGGGCTATTAAAAATTGTGTTGTTTTCCCGATTTCCTTTTCATCATTCTCTTTATTGCTGTATAGGAATCCAACTGATTTTTGTATGTTTATCTTGTATCCTGCTATTCTGCTGAATCTTTCTATTAGTTCCAGTAGTTTTGTTGTAGAGTCTTTTGGGTTTTCTATGTGTAGTATCACATCATCCACAAATGGGGACAGTTTAACTTCTTCATTACCAATTTGGATGCCCTTTATTTCTTTTGCTTGCCTTATTGCTCTAGCTAGGACTTCCAGCACAATGTTAAATGGGAGTGGTGATAAAGGGCATCCTTGTCTTGTTCCTGTTCTGAAGGGGAACGTTTTCAGCCTCTCTCCATTAAGAATGACATTGGCTGTTGGTTTTGCATAGATGTCCTTTATTATGTTGAGAAATTTCCCTTCTATACCTATTTTTTTGAGAGTTTTCATTAGGAACAGGTGTTGGACTTTGTCGAATGCCTTTTCTGCATCAATTGAGATGATCATGTGATTCTTTTCTTTCATTGAAGGCAACTATTTTTAAGTACTTCTTCTGCTTTTAGAGCTCCCAGTGATTGCCTCCACGTCTCTAAACAATATGCTTATGCTGCTGTTTCATAATTTAACAAATTTAGACTCTTTGTTGACTTATTTCCAAGAGATGAAAATTTAACTTTTGCTCATCACTCCCCCATACATTTACCCACCTCCTGTCATATACGTATATCAATATTTTTATTTCCTCTATTTGTAAATTTAACTAATACAAATTTAGTATTTCTTTCCATCAGCCATAGATAATATCTCTTAAATTCCAACTTTCCAGGATGAGAATATTAACAATTCGACCTTTATTTTCACTTGTTCCTCCCTCCTTTTACCTCTTAAGTTCTAACAACTATACTTTTATACTATCGTAAAGAATAACACTTTATACTTATAATATCATCTTTCATGCATTGAATTTAAGTTGATTCTAAACACTGAAAATCAATTAACAGCTTATTTATTATGACTATGTAAACTGTTCATCCCAGAGTCAAGTAGTGAGCTAAATTATCATTACATTTTTTTCTTATTATTTTTCTGATAGGAGTTTTCTTTTCTTGCATTCTCTGCCTTTATAAAATATTTACATTCTTCAACCATCTCTATCTTGCCATCTATTTTGGGGGACCTGCTTCTTTCCTTTATCTCTGCCACCATCTGGACTAATCTGAGCCTACTGAACAGTTATTATCCTGTGAGTTTCCTTCAGTGTTTACTTGGATTAGATCCATTATTTCCTAATTCCTATGCCTTCCTCTTTCTTTGTTTTCACCCTCATTTTGGCTTTCACTCTTATTTTCTTGGAGCACATCCTCAAGTAGTTTTCTCAAAAGTGTTCAGAGGCTTAAGTCTGAAAATGTTTTTTATTTTGCTCCACATTTGATTGATTGTGGTAAAAACAATCAACTGCTAACCAAAAGGTCAGCAGTTCAAAACCACCAGTGGCTCCATGGGAGAAAAGATGTGGCAGTCTGCTTCCGTAGAGATATACAGCCTTGGAAACCCTATGGGGTCACTATGAGTCAGAATCAGCTCGATAGTAATGGGTTTTGGGTTAATATTTTGAAAGGGGCCTTTCTGATTTCACTGAATAGTATAAACTTTGTTGCAATGAGGATAGAGCTTCTGAATAATGTAATAATGTATATTTTTCCTAATAGTGTTTGCTTTTTCCATTGCCCAGAAATCATCTAAAATGTAATATGTTCAAACCATTTAACATAATATTTTTCTGAAATTAACTGTCTTTAGAGTCAAATACTTTATAGTACTATGTTAGACATAGTGTAGTCTAGGACTCTTAAGTGAACCAGTTTAAATGGTAGATATTTGAGTACCTGTACTTAATTGCCTAACTAAACCATGAGTTTCTTGGAAACAGAGATTATGTTTTCTTTATATGTGGACACACGGACTGTGCCTAGCATGGTACCTTTGTGACAGGTAATTCAATATGTTTGCTGACTGAGTAAGTGAATAAATGTATTTCTTTCTTACTTGGTTTTAGTATCTCAGTTATTCCAAGAATGATGTTAATAAAACTAAGGAAACAGGCTTGATCCTTATATTGTCCAATAACTTTACATAGGAAACCTCTTTTCATAGCATTAGTTCTTAGCAAGTATCTTATAAATATGTATAAGAGGATGTTATGTGAACAAATGCAACCCTTAGTGACAACATGAAAATAGACAATGGTAAATTGTGGCATTAGGCATATACACAGAGGTTAGAATTTTCCCTGACTAGCTCAGACAAGAAGGCAGGAATGGAAGTTTTGGCTAATCAACAGCTCTTAGCAGTTTCTTTGTGTTGATTCTACGACAGCAGACATAGCTTGCCTCTGCCAGTGTGATGGGTCTTGCTGCAGTTTTTATTGAACCCTACTGTTTCAGAGGTTAGGAGAAATTTCAAACAAGCAATAGCAAATATACTTTGTAACAAAAAGCAAGACAAAACAAAAACCCATACTCTTACACATTTATTCCTGCCGCCTTGGGAGAGATGTGTGGTTAAATTTGTCAAATGCAGGTAAAACCTAAGTTAAATATTCATTAATCTATTATCCATCAATCAATAAAAATGAAAATGGCTGCATTTTTTATACAAACTTGTTATAATATGGTACGTATTTTAGTTATCGAGAAAGAAGAGACTTCTCTCTCTACTTTTAGAAGCAAGTATGATTTTTGTCAGAAATGATAGTATGAAAAGAAAAAGTAGCAAGGTGAGCATACTAGGAGACCCCAATTTAAGAAAAATAGAATCTGGAACAAAGCACTTGGCTGGCTCTCAATCCTGACCACAGACATCATATGTTTATTAAATCTGATGTTCCTTAAATTCAAGTATTTATTAAATCTGATTTATTAAATCAGAATCCCACCTGGACTTCTTTCTTTCAATCTCCACAGACAATTTGGATTTGTCAGCACCATGGAGAACCACTGCTTTTTCTCCCAACACCCTCTAGAATGCGGGAGCACTCACCTATGTAACCGACCTTGTCTAACACTAGATGGAACACATGGGGCTACGAGCAGTTGTGATCCCAACTGCCACCTAGTGGGTCTAACTTTCTAATCCAACTGCCGCCTAGTGGGTCTAACTTTCTAATCCCCCACTCAATCACAGTATGTTGCTATTATTATAACAGGATAACAAAAACACTTATGTTTACTGAGTGCTTACTGGGCGTCAGCCACTGTGCCCAGAGCTTTACTAAACCAGTTGCTTTGGAGTTGATTCCAATTCATGGTGATGCTATGTGTTTCAGAATGTGTTTCATAGGGTTTTCAATGGCTGATTTTACAGAAGTAGATCATCAGGCCTTTCTTCTGAGGCACCTCTGGGTGAACTTGAACCTCCAACCTTTCAGTTAGCAGCCAAGAGCTTAACCTTTTGCGCCACCCAGGGACTCCAGAGTTATCTAATCCTCACAACAACCTGTTGGATGGCTGCTCTTATTATTATTCTTTTTTTTAACACATGAAAAACCAGAGCCACAGAAAAGTTTGGTAATCAATCAGAGGAGTGAGGCTGGATGTGCTCTTTGACAACCACACTCAGGAGCCCCTGCTTTCAAAGGGGAGAATACAGTGCTTCCCACTGCCACGCCTTGGTCCGTGATGCATTGTTATCCCCACAGAGTCTTCAAATGAAGCAATTCTGCATATTTGTAGGGAGTGTACTGCATCAAAGTATGAGGAGACTTTTTAAAAAACTAAATGCTGTCCTGAGTGCCTTTTTCATTTGTGCTACCTGTAGAGCTAAAGTTTCGGAAAATATGAACAAAATCATAGCCTGGCCAGTCTTACCTTTGATACTACTCTTGACAGATCCCATCTCCAAAGGTCAAAGCTAACATCACGTACTTTCCAGAGCCCTGGGGTTATTGCCGCTTAAGCAAAACAAACATCTTGCATAGCACTTAACTCTGGAATATGGACTTTCCTCATTGCTAGAATTCTCAGACATGATTTAGGAAAAAATATTGGAGTTATTATTCCCACTCCTTGAGCATATAGAATGTGAGCCATTAACTGTTGTAGGGGGAAAACATCACAAAGTTTAGTAAAGTAAAAAGAAAGTTTTATTTGGCATATATTCAGAAGGACAAAAGTGGGAAGCAGACAAGCATGCTGCCAGAGCTAGAATGTCTGCCCGAATCCAAGGAAGGTTACAGAATCATCAGTATATATCAACATCACAAAATGGGCAGAATCATTGAAAGCATCACTTTTTCATTGATTGGCTAGAAATTGTAAAATTACATTTTGAATCATCTTTCTTAACAATCATTGGTACGGGGTTTCAGTAAGGAGAATCAGGACGGTCTTCATTGGGCCAACAAATTCCTATTCACTAAATGCTAATAGAAAAAGATAAGAGTGGAAAGACTTTTGTGTTGTGTTTGATGGGCTTTTGTGAAAACTTTCTTAAGATGTTTTCCAAGGTTATCTTAGCTATTGTCTTTTTACCTCAGGGCCCAGTTGATGTGTCCTTGTGAGTCCTTGTGAGCCCTTGTGAGCCCCTGTGAGCCCAGATCTAGCTGGCTCACATTCTGTTTGCTCAAGGAGAGGGAATAATAACTCGAAGATTATTTCCTAAATCAGACATAATGCCCTTTGTTCTCATCCTGTTGGCAGATGATAGATGGCCATGACAGCAAAAATGTAAATATCCAGTTCCTCCGCTCGAATATTGGAATTGTTTCCCAGGAACCAGTGTTGTTTGCCGGTAGCATAGCAGACAATATCAAATATGGGGACAACACCAAAGAAATTCCCATGGAAAGAGTCATAGAAGCTGCAAAGCAGGCTCAGCTGCATACCTTTGTCCTGTCCCTCCCAGAGGTGAGTATCAAGGCAGAGTCATTCTCTAGGGAGACAAGGAAGGGCAGAAGTAGAATGACCAAAAGCATCATGATTGTGGCTCAGGGAGGTCAAGGGCAGTGCACGGGGATTGTCTTAGACATTTAAGCAAAATAAATGTCCTTCGTCAACTCACTCTGTAGTTTTGGAAGGTATTGAACTGTCGAATGCAAGGGATGCTACGGAAGTCATTGCACATAAAACAGTACTACACTGAAATTCAGCTTAGAATAGTGGAAAATGCCTGAGGTTTGAATCTCAGCTCTGCCACTTTACTAGCTGTGTAACTCTGGGACAACAACTTATCCTTTCTGAGATATAGTCTATCTCATCTGAAAAATAAAATAAAATGAAACAGTACAGATAATAGCCGCACAGTGAAAACTGCTGCTGTTAATATTGTCATCCTCGTTCTCGCACTCCTTGGCAACATCTACTGTGTATGAATGGGGTACATTGCATCTTGACATATTTACTGTTCCAAAGCCAAGTCCAAACTTACAGCCGCATCGACTCTACAGTTTTCCATCCACCAAGAGTCTCTCTTGGTGGTTGATCACAAGGAAAATTAAGATATGGAAACTAAATTTTAGGAGCCAAGTTATCACCTTTTACTTTCTTCACTCCCTTCTTTTGAACACCACTGTGAAATTATTTTTCTTTTAAGTGATTATGTTTATAAATGTTGTGGTGTTTGTGGTGGACTTTGTGGTGCTTGTGTTTGTTTTTTTTCCAAAGGCTCACAAATCTTAAGCTCTTGGCTTGGTTCCAATCTGGATAACCTAATCCTCAAACTCATGGAAATTACTTTTTGCTGCATCCTGAGCTGAAAACAAAGCTTGTGTGCCCCCCGGAAGGTTCACTATTCCACAAGTTTTTTCTTGAGCATCAACTCATTTTGTGCTAGACATTGGATTGGAGTTGATTTGTTGCCTCTTTCTCATGCAGATTTGCCCATAAGACCCTTCACTAAGCACTTTTTCTCCATAAGGACAAAGGAGGTTGTCATGAGTCTCATGTGGCTTATGGAGAATTTGTCAGGAAGTAAGGAAAGCAGAAGAAGGACACAGATCTTATTGTAGAGGCAAGGTAGGACAGTGGTCAAGGACAAAGGTGCAGAATCTAGACAAAGCTGGATTTATATCTGATCTTCACTGCTTATTACTTGACTGTCCTTGAGAAATTTTCTTCTCTCTCTCTGCCCAAGTTGTATCATCTGTAAAATAGAAAGAATATAGTTTTTATGAATATGAAATGATAACCCAGCTAGAATAGTTAGCGTAATTCCGAGTACATAGTAAAGACTCTAGGAAAGTTAACTATTTTTTATGTAGCCATGCCAAGCATCTAGCTAGAGACTTTCTTTTATAATTTCATCTAAACTTCAGAACAAATTTGTGAACTAGGTATTAATACCTGCAATTTTCAGATGAGCTTGCAGCTCAAAGAAATTGAAATAATTTGTTCATGATCAGACAGCTGGTAAGCAGCAGAGTAGAGATTCGACCCCAGGCTTGTGCTCTAGGACGAAGCCTTCCCAAAGAGGGAATGGTCTAGAAGATCTCTCAAAGGGTTCTTCCATTCCTGGGATTATCACCATCTTGGAAAGATCTTCCAGACAAGAGTCACTGAGTGGGTCAATTCTTATATCAGAGAAAATCTCATATATGGGATCTTTACTGGCCACAGGGAGAAAGTAACCGAAAATACAAACCTAACAGAAATGGAGAGAAAGGGAAATATAGTCCGCTTGTTTCCCAACACCAAAGTTCACAAACTGTATATTTTTCTCATATTCCTAAGTGGATTTGACATTTTTTATAGAAGGACTCGTATACCATTCCCAATTTCAAAAAGCAACAAATAGTTTAAATTCACAGAGGGTTCCTTGAGGTGGGCTCCATGTGGCACAGGAGAAATGGCTATCTCTGGTTCTGAAACTTACTATACTTTTTCCAGAAATATGAAACTAACGTTGGTGCTCAGGGGTCTCAACTCTCTCGAGGGGAGAAACAACGCATTGCTATTGCTCGGGCCATCCTACGAGATCCTAAAATCTTGCTACTAGATGAAGCCACGTCTGCCCTGGACACAGAAAGTGAAAAGGTATGTAGATTTTCTAAAGCCTTAGATCATTATAAATGAGTCTTTGGATATAATATTTGTCCTTGTAAAAATGGCACTATTTTCAATTTTCTGATTCATTAACAGTAGAAACTGGCAATACTTCGTGGAACCAAAAGACAATAATCTAAGAAAGTGATTTAAAATATGATTGCTTCAAATAAAAAAATTTTAAACTTTAAAATAAGAATTATTGTTCAGGTTCTTTGGGGTAGGTGACTCTCTTTCAGGGGAAATTAATTAGCTTTATTAATTAAAGTAAAATAATTCTTAGGTTATGTGTCAGGCACATCCTATTTTGTATTTCTAAAGTTATGTGGCAGAGCAGGTGGGCAACACAAACAAGAGGCAATATCTGATGTTCAGCACACATGAAAAGAGATGTAATTGAGTGAAACACAATGATAAAATTTAACATTTAGTAACTAACACCTTAAAAATCAGTAGTCCATCTTGTAGAGAACCAAAATGTCCTTGGTGAAGAATAGACCAGGAATGACCACTTAACTGCCACTCTACACTGCCTCCTTGATTTCATTTTAGCAAACTAGACTATCAAGTATTGTAAAATTACATGGTGACCTACCTTGCAGTTTGGTTTATTCTTGCTTCACTGAAATTTCTCAGCCAGCGGACTACAAGTTAAATCATTGCTGCATTGCATTGAGCAAATGCTTGCATAATCCTCTTTCTTATAGAGAGTCTTTGGGTTTACCTCTCTGTACAGCACTGTGAGCCCTTGGGTGGTGCAAGCAGTTTTTACTTGACTACTAAGTTGACTTGGTGGTTCAAACTCACCCAGCAGCACCATGGAAAAAAGGCTGACAGTCTGCTTCTGTAAAGATTACAGTCAAGAAAACCCCACGGTAGAGTTCTACTCTGTAACACATTGGGTTGCCATGATGGGGCTTTTTTTAGCACTGTGACTTCGATGGTATTATATTGAACTCTTGTGATGGAAGGCTGGGAGATAATCATGCTCATTTGCAGCAATGGTCTATCTTCTCTTTGCAGACTGTGCAAATTGCCCTGGACAAAGCCAGAGAGGGTCGGACCTGCATTGTCATTGCTCATCGCTTACCCACCATCCAGAACTCAGATATCATTGCTGTCATGTCACAGGGGGTAGTGATTGAAAAGGGGACCCATGAAGAATTGATGGCCCAGAATGGAGCCTACTACAATCTAGTCACCACAGGAACCCCCATCAGTTGACCTGACTCAAAAGTGTCATGGGCAGGTGATGCACCAATTACAGGACTCCTGTAGATTTTTTTTTCTTTCCTTTAAGGAGAAATGCTAATATTTTACTTTCATAGCCATTGTCATAGACTGGAATTCAGGCTAATTGTTAATGACCTTCAATAATGATTCAGTTTTAGAAGTCCATGTATAGAAAATGAAAGAAAATAAGGTCAGTGCAAGGGAAAATCCAGTGTAAAGCTGTTGTTCAACCATTACCTGGTGCTTTCTCTATGCAGGAAACCAGTTGCCATTGAGTTGACTCTGACCCATGATGAATCCATGTGTGTCAGAGTAGAGCTGTGCTTCGTAGGGTTTTCAATGGCTGATTTTTTTTTAGAAGTACTTCCAACTCGAACCTGCAACCTTTCAGTTAGCAGCTGAGTGCATTAACTGTTTGCATCCCCCAGGGACTCCTCTCTCTCTGCAGGAGCCAGTCCCAATTACTACATGGGAATTTGTGAGAAGCTGTGGAGTAAATGAAGCTTTGAACTCCTCATGGGCAGAGGTCTTTCTTTTGCATTTTTGAATGCTTAGTGTACATAGAGGCCAGAATATAATAGTCACATAATCAGTGTTTGTTGAGTTGGGCCAAAGTTATACGTGAAAAAAATGACCAAAGACCAATGGTATTTCTTGACTAGAGTTTTCCTGGCACGTGAAAGCAGATTCGTTCATCTCTAGGGATGAGCATAGGGAAAGGTAAAATGTTGACACATAGATACCTCAGGCTGAGGGACACAGAAAAGAGAAAGTATTAGCAGGGGCTTACCATTAGGGGACCTTGGGTGGCACAGTGGTTAAGCACTCAGCTGCTAACCAAAAGGTCAGCGGTTTGAACCCACCAGCTGCTCCATGGAAGAAAGAAGTGGCAGTCTACATTTGTAAAGATTACAGCCTTGGAAACCCTATGGGGCAGTTCTACCCTATCCTATAGGGTCACTATGTGTCGGAATCGACTTGATGGTAATGGGGGACCATTAGGGGAAGGAGCCCTGGTGGTGCAACAGTTAAGCGTTCTGCTGTTAACCAAAAGGTTGGCAGTTTGAACCCATCCAGTTGCTCTACAAGAGAAAAACCTGCTCCTGTAAAGATTACAGCCTAGAAAACTTATGGGTTATACTCTGTCATGTGGGATCACTATGAGTCGGAACTGACTTGATGGTACCTAATAACAACAACCACCATTAGGGGTACTGGTTTACACTGTAGATTCAGGGCATAGTGCATAAATGGGCAAGTCACCACTTAATGGACTAGAATTTTTCCTGTCCTTTGTTTCTACCTAATCCTACTCATGAAATGCAAATAATAGATTTTACCTTGATGTAGCTTTGCAGAAGTGTTATACGAAAAAGCCAGTTAAATATGGCAGAAAAACACTCATATTTATCTCAGGTCACCCAAAACATCACTAAATAACGTTAAAAGCAAAAATCAAACCAGTTGCCATCAAGACAATTCCAGCTCATGGTGAACCTATGTGTTTCAAAATAGAATTATGCTCCACAGGGTTTTCAATGACCGTGACCTTTTGGAAGCAGATTGCTAGATCTTTACTCCAAGGCGAGTCTGGCTGGATTTGAACTGCCAGCCTTTCAGTCAACATCTGAGGGCTTAACTCTGTGTCACTCAAGGACTCCTAAAAATATTAAAGAAGGCAAAAGTCCACAAGAATAATGAAAATGAGAGAGACGACAGCAACAAAATGTTGGAAGCCAGAAAACAAATGGACAATTGATAATGGATCTAGAAAAACAAAAATGTAATCTAGTAGCAGGGGGAAGCCTATAAGCAACACAGTTTGTACCACAGACCCCCAGAAAGGCTCAGGATGTAGAGACACTGTGATCTTCTGGAAGTGGTGGGGGTGGGGGGCAGATGGAGCTGAAAATTGAAGAATGGGCTGAAAACCTATATAGAAAGAGAAGTGTAGACTCCCTTCTTGGAGCAGCATGGCAGCCCTTCCCCAATCCCAGCAGAAGCCTGGATGCTCCCTCACAGAAAAGCTTGCCCATAGGTACACAAGTCACAGTGGAAGGGGCAGGTAACACACTGGGGGCAGGGGGATTGAGTGTAAAGCTGTATATGAACAGGAAATTTCCCAGCCCTGACCCTTTCCTCTGGTAGGAGATTGAAAGATTGTTCTCTGGGGAAACTGGTCAATCCAAGAAAAGAGACCTATGACCCTGATGCTAGGAATTTTCCAAAGAAAGTGCCCACATAGATTACCCTACAATGAAACCCACTGGCCACAACTTGTACTACACAATGAGAGCATCCACTGGCTTTTCAGAGCCTCACTCTTCCATGGAAACAGACTGCCAAGGATCAGCAGACACGGAGGACAGATTTTAACACAAAAAGCAAAAACAGCAATAATAAAACACTCAGGAAAAAGGAAATTAGAGGTAACAGAAAATGCAAGGATCAGGAAAACATTAAAAAATTAGTAATAAATTTACTCAGATAGATGAGAGGATAGTGCCCTCTATTTAAATAAAAACAAGAGTCCAAAGAAACGTACAAAGAAGAACTCTTGATAGCAGAAATGAAAAATTCAATAAAAGGATTGTACAGTTGCCACCAAGTTCTCCTGCCATCAAGATGTCTTCTCTCTATTCCATCTCCTTCCCAAGCCTGCTCTGTGTGTATAGTATATGTTTTCTTCCCATGGCCGTCAAAGGAAATTCTGCCTGCAAATTAAGCCTGAGCCAGTGTATATTGGAGTGTATTATTTATGTCTTTGGTCCAGTGTTTCCTGATAAATAACTGTAAAGATGGGTACACAGGTTAACTACGTAGGTCAGAAGAGTTGATGCTTGCCAAGTGGGAGAGGAAGAGGGTTGGAGAAATTCTTTCTAGCTGAGTGATGAAAAATGGCAGTGACAACTAGTTGCACAGTAAAGATATCTTTTAGAAATAATTAAGCTTTGTGATAAATAAAAGCATCTCTGTGCTTGAAGAGGGGAGACTAACATTCATTTAAGTTCTTGTCTTAGGTTGGGTTCTCTAGAGGAGCAAAACCAGTGAAGCATATATGTAAATATATAGCGAGAGATTTATTTCAAGGAAATGGCTCACACAGTTGTGGAGGCTGGCAAGTCCCAAATCTGTGGGTCATGTGCAGGGGCGGATTAACCAGTAAGCAAGGTACACGCAGGCTTAATTGTGTTTACTTAACTAATCTGTAGCGCAGAAGTTCACATGGGTTTCACCACATGATGTGGTGAAAAACAGGTGAACTTGTGCACTACGGATTAATAAATAAGCACAAGTAAGCCCGTATGTACCTTGCTTATTGGGTAATCTGTCCCTGGTCAAGTGTCAGGCTGGAAGCTTCTCATGAGTCACATGATTGCAGGGGCCGACGAACCCAAAATCAGCAGGTAAGGCAGAAGGCTACAGGCTCATGGGGTTGTGGGAGCTGGTGAATTCTAAAATCTGCAGGTCAGTCAGCAGGCTGTTGGCTCATGTACCAAGAACCAGAGGTCAAAAGATAATGAGTTGGCTGCAGGATGGAGAGAGGGTGAGCTTTTCCAGAAAATTGATATATATTGGATGCAGGCGATACCCAAAGGAAACTCCTCTTTCAACTGATTGGCTGCTCACATTGGATCACAAAATGGAGGATAATTCAATAATATCTGCCAAACCACTGAGAATCATGGCCTGGTTAAGTTGACACGTAACCTAACCATCATAGTTCTCATTTCAACAAGGGAGAATACCGGTTCTGTGTTGGGAGGTTGCTGACTTCCTGGAGTGAATGTGTGAGGTATTAAAAAGGAATGAATAAGAGTTATTTTTTGAATAGGGTACTTGAAGGTTATTGATGATAAGGAATTGATTGACTGCAGAGGGCTTGAAATGATTTGGGAAAACAACTGTTTTTTGAGGCTTAGCATCAAGAGAGAGGATTACAACTTAGAAAAAATAACTAAATGAAGTTGCAAGTTTATTTTATAACACCAGAGGGCTCTAAGTTCGCCATTTTTATCCTGTATCTTGCATCACTAACAAACATTTGTTCTCTGCAGCTTACATTGTTAATGTTTCTCAGATGGCCAAAGGGCTTGCTCTATCTGTCCTATCTGACACTTATCTCAAGTCTGTCTGTCATTTTCTAAAGTTCTTGGAATGTTCTCATGCTCCAATAAAACTCTCCCTATAACCTCAGTTAATAGAAATTTACAGAAGAAAAAAAAATGAGAAGGATTAGAAGATAAAGTTAAGGTAATTTCCCTGAAAGTATAACAAAAAAATAATGAAGAAAAAAGAAAAAGAAAAACATTAGAGGAATAATCCAGGAGGTGCAATAATTGGCTAATAGCAGTTCCACAAAGAGAATTCAGAGTAATTGAGGGGAAGAAACTATTAAAGAAATAGTTGAAAAAAATTTCCTAAAATTGAAGAATATGCGTTCACAGGCTTGAAAGTTTACGGTTTCACCAATGCCCAATAAAATAAGCAAATAAAGACCCTATCCGAACACATTATTATGCAATGGTAGAAAACTGAGGAAAAGACCAAAATGCTAAAGTTTTCCAGGCGGAAGGTGGAGACATGTCACCTATAGATCAAGAATCTAAATATCCTAGGACCTCTGAACAATAATAACATTAAAAGTCAGAAGACAATAAAGATTTGCATTCTAAATTCTGAGGGAAACATTTTTCCATCCTGGAATTCTCTACCCAGCAAACTATTCTCAAGAATGAGAGAAACCTCAAGAAATTCTCAGTTATGCAGTCTCGAAATGTTTACTTCCCATGCTCAGGAAGCATAAACCAAGAAAGAAGAAAATATGGGACCTAGGGAGCAGGTGATCAAACTCAAGAATGAGGTGAAAAGGCTCTCCAGGTGATTGCTGTTGTTGTTGGGTGCTATTACGTTGATTCCAATTCATAGCAACCCTATATGACAGAATAGAACTGCCCCCTAGTGTTTCCTAGGCTGTAATCTTTACTAGAGCAGATCACCAGGTCTTTTCCACCCTGGAGCCGAAGCTGTTGCT